TCTGGCCATCAAACAGCTCATAGTCAAATCCCCTGTGTTCAGTCCTTAAAAAGGATAGCAATGATGACATCAAACTGGGGATTATTTGCGACTTCATACGGAAACAATATTCAATCTCTACCCGTTTCCGCATTTTCGCGATTTGTCGACTACGTTACATGGTACAACTATCTTTTCGAAAATGGTCGTGGTTAAAACTTATGATCAGACTCCCGTAGCTGAAGGTAACGTTATTAAAATTATTATCATTACTCCTTCTGAACTCAGTAAATTTTCGCGCGTACTTTTCAGCTTGTGAACTGCAGCTTAAGCTTTTCAGAGACTCGCTGATGACAAATTCGGAAGTATCTGTTCTGTGCTTGCTTATATTGATAGCCATGCGATACTTCGTCTGAACAGGAAAGCCTATCTCTAACCTCCTGTACTTGCTTTTTAACGGCCCTAAAAACAGAGCTGCAGTGTGAACATTAAGAAATGTCAAACAAAAACAAACTCCCTTGGTTTTCTGTGGCATACTACTGACTCTCGAGGATGGCTAAAATATAAGGAAAGCTGAAGAAAAATATGGTGAATGTAACTGTTCATCGTTCATTCAGTACTACTATGAACAAGAGAGACCCTTAAAATTCGAAAAGACGTCAGATGCTTCTGGAAGAAGCATGCTATGCAAAGAGTTCATCGTTCTCTAAAAAATAATGTCTCCAAATGGATGAATGGTTCTCATTTATAAGGAACAAGAGGAAAGTAAAATCCCACAATAAACATTTAACTGAGTCCTTCATGCAATTACCTTCAAAAACAGAGGATGAAAATTTGAATCATTTTCTTTTCCAAGCGTTCAGTTGATGAGAACTATCTGGTAAATATAAAGCATCTATGATAAAGTGACTGCACAAGACCAGTATATATACTTGTCTAGTTTTGTCTCAATAAAATAAGAGAAGATTAGTTAAAAAATAGGTCATCTGATGCAACAGTATTAGACCTAAAAATAGTCTTTATGTTGAACTGAACCGTAGTGAAGGTTTACAATGAAAGCTGGAATATTCACAACAGGTAAAATCACCATCTGTAACAAAACGTCTGCAGTACTTCACAGGCATATGAGTTTGTTTACATTTAGTCTGGCCCAACCCTTTTGAAAAACTTATTTAACTGGGTCATCCGTATTGCAATAGCTTACTGTTGTCACTCTTATATGAGGAAATATAATTGAGCATTGCTTACCGCCTACGTGCATATTAGTTTTACTCCGTTTGTAATTAGCCTCTTAAATAATTCGATGACTTGTAATGAATTCACTTTTACGAAGAGAACGCTACTGGTTTGATAAAAGCATTCAGTCATGCTCAGTCATGCCACGCTACGTAGAGTTGGTCTTATCACCACTCTGCTTCATTTCACTTTTTCTTTCTTTTTCCCGATGTGTCTATGTGAACGACTGCTCGAAATTAACTCATCCAAATGAATTAGGCTTCTTATTACCACCATCACATAAAAGGGATACGTCTAATAGTAATATAGGTAAATCATAATTAAGATTTATTTCACAGCATATTTTATTGTCAATATTTTGATGTCAGATCTCGAGAAAGTAAAAATTACAGTTAGAAAATGATTCCACATTTGATCCTTATTGAGGTACCTGAATCCCCAGTTTAACATGGTTCGGAAGTAAACTCACTAAATCTATGGAGACTTTTCAGTCTCCAGAAGTAGTCTTCCGTACAGCGCTTTTTCAGAAGATATAGCAAACATACCTACTTTTGAAAATGAAATTATTTAACTTATTTAACTAGAACTTCGACATGACACAAGCAAGAACCATGCAGTTTGAATTTATATTGCTATGTGATGTGGTAAGGAGAATTTTTAGTTCATGTGCATGGTTCTATTAATCCGACAGGTTTAAAACCAGTGTACAATACTTACCTGCATAATATATGTACTTATTATTTACCACACTGTTGTAGAGTCTGTCGAAGAATTTTGAAAATAACTTTGGTTCCATAGCCATTAGGAGGGATTATTCCAGCTAATACACACTGACCAAATTTATGTCAATAAGTGAACTGTTTTTCCCTCCACTCTTAGAGAGAACATAAAAAGCATTACAGCTACCAGTGACGGATAGGGCTATTCTTTCACGTGGAAGCATTTCTCAAGGAAAAATTTGTCCCTTCATTCTGCAAAGTTTAATGGACTGGTACATTTTTCACTGACTTTTCATGCCGAATTATTTATCCCTTAAGAGATCCTTGAATAGGGCAACTGCGTTTAAGTATGAGTCGAAATATATTGGTTCCTTCATGGAACTCCTAGCTTTCAACCCTCTGCGGAATACACAGAATTCCTTCTTTTCACAGGTCTTTAAACCCAAACGTTTTTCTCTAAGCTGATATTCAAGAAAGTACTCTTCTCGAAAGTCCTGAAAACTGGACAACATCCCATAGTTTGTTTCAAATCCATTGAATATTTCTGCTCCAGTGTAGTTGTAGACTCCTTGTTCCTTTCAACTTTCGGTAAAAGTTTTCAAGAGATAGCCTTTCGTAGGCACGCTCAGCTTTAGCATTAGTTAATATCGGCAACCTTGAAAATATTATTCAAACAGGTAGAGATTGTCAGATTGGTCCCAAACAATATGAACACTATTTACGAAATTTCCTACCCAGTTACGTGAGCGACTATCAAGCTGAGAGCAGAACGATTTTGCTAGCCTGGTATGAACAAGGACGTGAAGGAGTGGATTTCAGCAGCTGTCCAGCAAAACTAACGAAGTCAGCTTAAATGTAGCAGACTAACAGAACTATTTATTTTGTGCATTTATTTACCTGTATGGGCGCAATATCCAGAAACTGAACGGCAGACCCACCTTCTCCTCGTTAAAGGTAGTCAAGTTCAGAAATTCGCTACCCGCTCAGACAGTCTAAGTGACATCCCAGGAGTTCTACAGTAGAAACACTGGTTCATCCATAGTATTCACTTATTCTCTTCTAAAGCTTCTCTTTTACCATTTAAATATACTTAGGTTCTTACCCAGAAACATCGGTCATCCACTGTTACTTGTCAGTATGTTCGAAAACTTCTACCTGGTCGACAACTATTTAAACACTTTGAAATCTAAAAAATAACAGACACTGTGATAAAAGAACAAGGATTTAGCACAGAAAAACCCATTGGTTTATAGTAGTTCGTGAAAAAATGTATTTGACGTTGAATGTTGGGGCGCTGGAGCTAAAGATTTACGGTACCTAGTGTTTGGAACTCAGACATGAAGTTCTCCAAGGTCAAGGATGATAGCTGTGATTTCTCTGATGTAGTGAATGGATTAAGAAATCTTTATGATAGAAGACTGAAGCCTTTGGAGGTGACATATTTGTTCCCACAGTTTCATTCACCAACACTTGATTCGGGGGAATTTAGTTGTAAGCCAATGATTCTTCTTTTGGGTCAGTATTCTACCGGAAAGACCACCTTTATCAAATACGTTCTGGGATCCGCTTTTCCGGGCATGCATATTGGCCCAGAGCCGACAACTGACCGATTCAGTGTAGTGATGGAAGGGGATGAAGGTATTATTCCCGGGAATGCACTTGTTGTTGATGCCCAAAAACCTTTCCGCCCCCTTTCGAAATTCGGAAATAACTTCCTTAACCGATTCCAGTGCTGCCAACTCCGAAATCCTGTTCTCAACAGTTTAGTCATCATTGATACCCCGGGAATATTAAGCGGTGAAAAACAAAGGTTGGACCGTGGTTACGACTTCGCTTCCGTTGTTCAGTGGTTTGCAGAACATGTTGACAGGATAATCCTGCTCTTTGATGCCCATAAACTGGACATATCAGACGAGTTTAAGCGAGTGATAGAATCTCTCAGAGGTTTTGACGACAAAATCCGTATTGTTCTAAATAAAGCTGATATGGTTGATTCTCAGCAGTTAATGCGCATCTATGGAGCATTAATGTGGGGTCTCGGTAAAGTGTTAGGGACTCCGGAGGTTGCTAGGGTATACATCGGATCATTTTGGGACCGACCACTGCAATACGATACGAACCGTCGCCTATTCGAGTTAGAGTCACAGGACCTATTTAAAGACCTTCGAAGTTTGCCTTCTAACGCAGCCATGCGAAAACTAAATGATATGATACGACGAGCAAGGCTAGCGAAAGTGAGTTTGATTTTCATTATTCTGTTTTACCCAAGGGTGTTTATATTTATTTTTAAGTGTATTGTTGTGGGAGATAGGGTATTCAGATATGAGTTTTATATTCATTAAGTGTTTAGTTTATGTATATTTTATCCATACTTTATCAAGTATCATCGGAACGCCGAAAAAATCCGATGAACAACATCCCACTTATGATTCAAATTTTTCCGATTTACTGGGTCACTAGAACCTCATCATCATCAATAGCAACGTAGAACTTTGCACGTAAGTACAGCAGTTCAAGTTGGCATACCACAGTAGCACGGAGACATAATTATCACTTCAAATCCCATTGTAGTAGGTGTAGTAAAAGTATTAGAAGTAATCGGAGAGATTAGGGTTCGAAGATGTTGCTCAAGAAGTATAATTCAGTGAGGTAAATTTAGAAAGAGAAAGATAGAGGTGATGATGAATTCAGAAGGTTAAAAGTTGAGAGAATACAGAGAATAAATGCACCTCCGCCATTGCAAACGGGTTTGAGCCATGTCATTCAGGGTGTCTAACCATCGGCTACAATAATCTCGCGAACCTCAACCAGATAGACTACATATACCAACATGACTCAGACCACTTATCAGGTATGGCAACATGAACTGATGTACTTGCGTACAAAGTTCTACGTTTCATCTGACTGACTGACTGACTTATCAGTGACTTCATGGATTTGTGCCATGTTTTGGTTTGGCCACCCCTAACTTTCTTCAAACCTACTCCTACACCACGAAACATAGCTCGTCGAGGCAGTAGGTGGTTAGGCATACGCATCACATGTCCCAATCACCTCAACTGATGAAGTTTCAATACTTCATCTACTGATCTGCCATCTCTACCTAGTACTCGTTTCCTAACGACAGCATTGCTTACTCGGTTGTCCCACGAAACTCGACCAATGCTTCGGAGACACCTGTCAGTCAGTCAGTCAGATGCAACGTAGAACTTCGTACGTAAGTACATCAGTTCATGTCGCCATACCACATCAGCACAGAGATGTAACTGTCAATTCAAATCCAATAGTAGAAGAGTTAGTAAGCGTATGAGAAGTAATCGGAGAGGTTAGGATGAGAAGATATCATTCAAGAAGTATGATTAAATGAGAAAATTTTAGAAAGTCAAAACTAGAGTTGTTGAAGAACCCAGAAGGTTAGGATTTGAGAGAACACAAAGAATAAATGCACCGGCGCCATTGCGAACGATTTTGAGCCATGTCATTCAAGGTCTCTAACCATCGGTAAGTATCATCTCGCGGACCCCAACCAGGTAGTCGACAATTACTGACATGGCTCAGTCCACTGGTCAATGACTCCATGGATTTCTGCCATGTTTTGGTTTGGCCGCCCCTAACTTTCTTCAAACCTACTCTTACACTACAAAACAAAGCTCGACAAGGCAGTCGATGGTTGGGCATACGCCACACATGTCCCAACCACCTCAACTGATGAAGTTTCATTACTTCATCTATTGATCTACCATTCTTACCTAGCACCCGATTCCTAATAACAGCGTTACTCACTCGGGTGTCCCACGATATACGAGCAATGCTTCGAAGACACCTATGATCGAAAACCAGTAACCTACGAATATCTTCTACTCTCACTGGCCATGTTTCACAGCCATAAAGTAAGACAGAGCGAACCAGTGCACAGTACACTCGTCCTTTAGTCAGCAAACAGATATCTCGCCTACACCATAAGTGACGCAGGTTGGCAAAAGCCAATCGATCCTTCTGTATCTGTGCCGAGATTTCGTCAGTCACCAGGCCATCGGCACTGATGAGACTCCCAAGATAAGTGAAGCGGTCTACACGTTCGACTACTTCACTCCCTATCACCAGTTCAGGTGCCGATGAAACCCAATCTTGAAGCAAAATTTTGCATTTCGAGGGGGAAAACCGCATCCCGAACATGCTTGCATTGTTGCTTAGGGTGGTCAGAAGACTCTGCATTTTGTCAGCGTCTTCACCAAGTAGGACAATGTCATCGGCATATTCTAAGTCAATAAGCGAGCCACCTGGTAGAAGGTCTACTCCTGAAAATTCAGACGAGGATAAGGTTATTTCTAGGAGCATGTCTATGGTAAAATTAAACAAGAATGGAGACACCTGTGATGGAAGAAAAGTAATCTACGGCTATCTTCTACTCCGACTGGCCATGTTTCACAGCCATAAAGTAGGATGAAGCGAACTGCTGCGCACTACACTCGTCCTTCCGTCTGAACGTGTGTCTATTTTCTAGGACCTGACGTAGTGTGAAGATGTGGTCTACACATCCTGGTCCAGGTGACAGTTCGCTATAAGCTCTCATTCGACCACTGGTGTTCGAGTAGAGAGCTTGTATAAGGTTAATGTACTTCTTTGGTACACCTTTCAATGACAAACACTGCCACAGAACCTCGCGATCCACAGAGTCGAATGCTGCCTTAAGGTCCATGAAGACAACTATTGTAGGACGCCTAAATGTATGCCTGTGTTCTAGGACCTGTCTTAGTGTGAAGATGTGGTCTATACATCCACGTCCAGGTCTGAAACTAGCCTGAATTTCTCGAGTCTGCTCTTCTAGAGCTCCAGTTAGGCGTCTAAGTATAATCGAGGCTAACAATTTGGAAACTATATTAGTTAGACTTATTCCCCTGTGATTGTCACAAGAAGACTTTTGTCCTTTCTTATAAATTGGGACAATCAGTGATTGAGTCCAGTTGGGTGGGATTACGTCCAGTTCCCAGATTCTACCTAAGATCTCAGTCAATCTAGCTGCTAAAACTGGACCACCATCCTTATAATATGTCAGGGGTCAGTCTATCAGGACCTGCAGCTCGCCCTCGCTTCAGATTTCCTATCGCTTTCTCAACTTCATAAAGACTAGGAGGACTTAAGTCGATTTGCCATTCAAGATGACTGGAGATCGTGGGCAACCGAAGTGTGGCTGAAGACCAGCTGAACTGGTCCTTAAAGTGTTATGCCCATCAATCCAGTCTCCTGGATTGAGAATGGATAATAAGACCATCCTTTTCCGAAATAGTCTCACTCACATTCGGGTTCCTAATACCGGTTTCTTTGATAAGTCGGAAAAGTTGTCTAGTGTTGCCGATCGCCGCTGCGTTTTCCATCTCCTTTGATTTCATTACACACTACTGTTCTCGATCATTGCAAATGCTTTTTATCAGCCTGAGCCTGAGCTTACTGTGCTCCTCATCGTACTCAGAGCGGGACAGGATGAGGTTTATAACATGCATCAGTTCCGTAGATGCTACTGAGATCCACGACTTATCCCCAATCTTGTGGTTTACCTTACTAGAAGATATCACTGCTGTTTCCATAGCCTTTTTGTTATCGTTCCAAGATGCCTCAGGGTGGGCATCACTTACCTAATGTCTGCTTAACTGTTTTTCTAGTTGTTCCTGGAATATATTCTTTGTTTGATTATCATTAAGTGGGGCTCTAAGAGGTTTCCTTGCAATATTTCTTGCGTTCCAGTAAGGCGCAAACAAATAAGCGCTCGCAGTAGAGCATGGTCTGAGTCTAAACAAGTGCTCCAAAATGAGCGGCAGCCTCTCCACCGATGGCTTTTGGCGATTTTATCTAGTTTGGTCGATCGTTCGGTCGGCTTTGGGGGTCGCTAGGTCAAAAGGTGTGTTTCCTTATGCTTAAAGTTAGTGTTTGCTAAAATAAGCGGTTATCTGAGCATAGCTGCAGCAGACGGTCGCCAGTATCTGTTCTCTGAGACGCGACACCATAGGATCCACCCAGGTGGCTTTCCTTTTCACCTAGTCTACCTACTTGAGCATTAAAGTCATCAGCCATTATTACTGTGTCAGAGCGCTTAACATTCTGGAGAAGTTTACGGAGGTTTCTATTAAACTAATCTTTCATGTCATCTTAACTGCAGTTAGTGGGAGCGTAGTTAGATACGATGAATAGGCAACGGCGTTTCCCTATCTTTCTGAGTCCGTACCGTCCGCTTTAGTCGGACAGCGCATAAGCGACTGTCTATCGGGATCCAGTCTAAGAGAGCTAGTTCTGCCCTAACACTTAATACTATGCCGACGCCGGCGAGGCCGCGAGAAGTGGCATCAGGGCTTCCAGAAACACGAAGCTTAAACCTTGTTGTGTCTCTATCTTCACTAGGTGAGATCAAATTGATTATTTGACTTGTATGCGCGTTTCGGAGACGCAACATAATCGATCGCCCGGGATTCCAGAGTTCTAGCTAATGAAGCCTGTTGCCCTATTTGGCATAGGGTTCGATCATTAAAAGCTCCTATATATAATTTAGTACGGGGTTTCAGGAGACCAGGAATAATGTTTCGTTAGCTCGTACCGTTTGATTCAGTGGCGTGAGGTGATAAACGATCGAAAAAAGGGTTAGTCGAGGCGATAAGATAGTTATTAAGAGGTGTAGAAAGGATTTGAACGTGATCATTTCGGTCTCGTGCGCCTAAAGCAGTATTGATTGTGAGGTTCTGTGGCAGTGTCTGTCATTGAAAGATGTATCAAAGAAGTTCATTAAGCTTATACAGGCTCTCTACTCAAACACCTCTGGTCGAGTGAGAGCTTATGGCCAACTGTCATCGTAATTCTTTACTTCAAATGGTGTCCGTCACGGATGTCCACTTTCCCCATTCTTGTTCAATTTTGTCATCGACAGGCTGCTAGATATAACATTATCTTCTGAATTTTCAGGAGTAGACCTCCTACCAGGAGACCTGCCTATTGACTTAGACTATGCTGGTGACAGTTTTATCCGGTGAAGCTGACAAAATGTAGAGTCTTCCGACCACCCTAAGCAACAACGCAAGCATATTCGGGATGCGGTTTCCCCCCTCGAAATGCAAAATGTTGCTTCAAGATTGGCTTGCGTCGTCACCTGAACTAGTGATAGGAAATGAAGTAGTTGAGTGTGTAGACCGCTTCACTTATCTCGGGAGTCTCATCAGTGCTGATGGCCTGGTGACTGACGAAATCTCTGCACGGATATAGGTTTTATTTGCTTTTGCCGACTTGCGTCACTTATGGCGAAGGCGAGACATTTGTTTGCTGACCAAAGGATGAGTGTAGTGCGCAGCAGTTCGCTTCGTCCTACTGTACGGATGCGAGACTTGGCCGTTAAGAGTAGAGGACTTTCGTAGGTTACTAATCTTCGATCATCGATGTCTCCGAAGCATTGCTCGTGTTTCATGGGACAACCGTCTAAGCAATGCTGTCGTTAGGAAATGAGTTCTAGGTAGGGATGGCAAATCAGTAGATGAAGTATTGAAACTTCATCAGTTGAGGTACTTGGAACATGTGTTACGTATGCCTAACCACCGACTGTTTCGACGAGCTATGTTTTGTGGTGTAGGAGAAAGCTAGGGGCGGCCAGACCAAAACATGACACAAATGCATGAAGTCAGTGACAAGTGGACTGAGTCATGTTCGTAGATGTAGACTACCTGGTTGGGGTCCGCGAGACGACAGTAATCGATGGTTAGAGACCTTGAATGACATGGCTCGAAACCGTTTGCAATGGCGCAGGTGCATCCACTCTTTGTGTTCTAGGAAATTCTAAGCTTTTGCTTTCCTCATAATCTCTACCTTTCTCCTTCTAAATTTATCTTACTGAATTATGCTTCTCGAATTATATCTTCGCTCCCTAATCTTCTCCATTACTGCTAATACTTCTATTATTGCTATCAATGTTGGATTTGAACTGACAGCTGCGTCTGTGTGCTGATGGTGCATGGCAACCTGAACTGATGTACTTACGTACGAAGTTCTGCGTTGTATCTGTCTGTCTGGTGTCTCATTCCAATTTACCACCAACTCTGACACATTTTATTGGTTCCCATAGAAGTGGTCTAAACAATCATTAAGAGCACCCAGGCCAAGACACAATAAGTCTATGGAGTCCTTGAATTTCATTGTTTGCTATTCAGCTCAAAGAACGAAACTCCGCTTAAATATTACTTAAGTCCATAAGGTAGCGGTAGTCCGTAGTTAAAGACTAAATTACCAGTGTTAGTGGCTTATTATTAGATAGTTTCCAAGGTCCAAACCTTGTTTAATCTTCTAGAGTTTGAGCAACGAGTTAATACTATCAACTCTCATCTGATAATCTAAATTAACAGCCAATGGGTGAATATGTACTTGGTTACTGATAAAAGTTAGTTCTGGATACTGTTCAAATGGAATCTACAAAATGTCTACCTTGATGCATTTCACTAATGAAAAATAACTACTCTTTTGATTTTACCTAGGTACATGCTTATATTATTGGTTATCTTAAGAAAGAGATGCCTTCAATCGTTGGGAAAACCAAAAAGAAACAAGAACTTATCAGCAATTTAGGGCGGATTTATGAAACTATCTCACGTTTACACAATATATCTCCTGGTGACTTCCCCAAACTCGATCATATGAAAAATGTTTTGAATGATCAAGATTTTTCAGCCTTTCCAGCTCTTAAAGAAAAGCTTATTGAACAAGTTGACGTTATGTTAAGCCAGGAGATACCCAAATTAATGCAGTTGATACCAATTGTAAGTGTGCTACATACAAATTTATGTTTTAATTTTCTTCTATTTATCGATCTTTCAAAATTGGTTTCAGTTTATGAGAAAATATTATGGTTAATCGAACTTTCAAGCTCAATCCTCTATCAGATATTTAGTTTCGCCTTCAAACTAAATTTCTAATAAGCGTACTTTATAAGCTGTATGCAAGCTTTTCTCTTAAAAATATAAGATGTAATACTTTTTTACTCAGAAAGAAACAAAACTTTGCTCATATTATCACGAAGTACCAATGAAAGGCTAGTGTTAGGAATTTAACAGTTCACAGCACCATGTTTTAAACGGCCAGTGCTGTAGAAACTTATGTTTATTCATTATCGTAACTTTTGGGACTTTTATAGTTACATCAAATGTTTCCTTCCAAACGATTTATTGTAGTTCAATATAATAGCATCAAATAATATTCTACGTAAGGCGTATCATTTCTAAAAACTTTTGGGTTTTTTGAGTTGAATTAAGGGCTTGCCTGTAGCAACATTTTTAATAAACTGTTTCGTTTTGTTTCTGAGTGGAATTGACCGATTGTTATTCACTGTAAACCTTTCATGCTTTTTGCAGTACCATTAATCATTTGATGTCTCCGTTTGTTATTGAAGCCTTTTATGAGAGGTGTCTAGAGTAAAATTTATCTTTTGATAATAGTGTCCTAATGAGTAAAAATTTAAATATATATTTATTATCAATAATATATCCAATGTTCAATTTATATGAAGTGATCAAGTTAAACCTTGGTAATGTTACCTACGATTTATCTTTTGTTGAAGTTTATCGTACTCATTGTTTTGTGTGATCTCTTTGCCAGGTTTCTTGAACTCAAATTCAATAGTTGTTGTTTATCATAAAAGTGTACTTCCAACCTTGAAGAAACTAACGCTAATAAGTGCTTTGATTCCTAACTCGTAAATGATTTAAGTCCATCGCAAATATGTGACTAGACGGATATCAAGGAAGGACGAAGCAACAAATCCTAAATACGTAGAAATCAATCCCTATTAGCCATGTAACTAAAATTGTAGCGTATACATTTCATTTGTGAAAAAAGTCGTAGATAAGCAAGGTCATCGATGGACAGTTTATCATATCCCTTTACTTTATGTAGTTAGACACCTGTTTAGATATACTAAACTGAATTTATTATCAAAACATTATACTTTTACCATCATAAATACGGTTCAAATATATTGATTTTCTTCGAAGGAACAATCAGCGTCTGTTGAACAAGGTAAGAATTTCATCAAAGGAGGAGCTTTTGATGGTAGTGTAGAAGATAGTCCATTCACAGCAGAGGCTGATCTGGATATTAATCGTGGACGATATGATAATAAGTGGGTCGGAGAAGAAGATCGAGAGAAGTATGAAAAAGTAAGTTAATATCAATTAAACTGTTACACACATACCCTTGCAACAATTCTATATTAACTTTTGTTTAATCCGATGAAATAACTTCCCTTGCATTTTGTTGCTGCATTTTAACATTCAAGATTTTTCATAAGTATAAGTGATAAAGACGACGCCTATGGCGAACGAAACTATTACATTGGTAGTTTATTTGATAAATTTTCTGTTGATTTATTATATCAATCTATCAATAATCGCTCTAAAACTATCGAGTCCAGTAAAAAAAGATTCTATTTAATTTTAAGACTTTTCAGCACTACTCTATCCGCGCCCATTTCCCAACCTAACTGAAAATCTTTTCTTTGAAGTGGACTACATTAGAAAAGTTTCATCCAACAACTTCGATTTATTTCCTTTCCTAGTGTTAAGTTTATCCAGATTAATGATGTTCTTAAAATTTCCAATTTCAGTAAAAAATACTTATAGGTTTGTGATGCGACTGTGAACTCATTTATTAAGTTATACAATCTAATCTTCCAGTTCAACACTAAATTATTAAAGTAACTGCTTAGATCAGATTTGTACCCATACTGTTTTCTGGATAAGGCTTTTCATTCCCGCTTACTTCTTTTGTATTTTATATGCTTCATAAAAAGATTTCACGTTTCTTGCTCAATTTGTGTTTGTTTATTACACTAAGATTATTGATCGGTTTTCTGAAAAGTAATTAAAAATTAAACAATACATGTATGGTTTTTCCCACTCATCGTAACTTACGAATGACTACTTCAATAAGGTGACTGATTTTCTCGTACTTCTAATTATAACACTAGTTATAAAATATTTCAGAGAAGTTTGTGTGCAATACAGAATCAGCAATTTATTTCATTCGTATTATTCAAGTTAAATGATAAAAAACTGGTTGTTTCAAGCTGTGTTTATTGTTCTTTCGACTCTAGTATTCTTTATAAGTAGTTTATAACCTGTATTTTGAATAAGGTAGATGTTGCAATCAACCTAACTTACCTAATGACTTATGAAGTTAGCTAATAAAAATATTATTGTGATACCAGGTCACATAAGTGATAAGTATTGCTTCCAATACGACTGAACTATCTTCCTAGCGGGTTCCTCGAACCCAAACTACTTCTGAACCCCAACTGGAGCAATAGAGGCGAAGCACGAATTGCGAGTAAAAGCTCTACTCCAAGGTTAGTTTATGTACAGAAAAACGAGGCATTTTATGGATTCATACACAACCTTGGGTTTCCGGAAATTCCTTGAACCTTGCCATATATCGTAAGCATCCAAAAAACCATGACACGTAATTCTTCATTTTCTGAATGTTTCTGCAACTCTGGTTGTGTTTCCCGACCGGCGCTGCTACCTTGTCGTGGTGATCAGGCTTGCCCATCGTGATGACAACCGAGCTATGTCGGCTGGTAGACAGTCCGACTAAATGGGACAGTAAAGACTCAGAAAGGTAGGGAAACTCGCCGTTGCCTCTTTGTTGTCTCTGCCTAAGCTCCCACTAACTGCAGTTCAAACGAGGTGAAAGATGACTTCTACAGAAAGTTTTGGACTTCCTCCAAAACGTTAGGCGCTCTGATATAGTAATAATGCCTAGTGACCCTAATCCTCAAATAGGTAGAATAGGTATAAAGGAAAGACGCCTAGGTGGATCTTATGGTGTCTCAGCTCAAAGATCAGATAATGGCGACCGTCTACTTCAGTTGTGCTAAGAGAACCACCTATTTCTAGCAAACACTAACTTTAGGCATAAGGAAAAACATGTCTTGACTTGGCGACCCCCGAAGTTGTTTCAACGTTGGACCAAACTAGACCACAATGCTATCAACCACCGATGGAGAGGTTCGGTAGAATGATATCAAAAAGGCTGTGGAAACAGCAGTGATATCTCCTAGTAAGGTAGACCACAAGGTTGGGGATAAGCCGTAGATTTCGCTAGCATCCACAGAACTAATAGACGCTCGTAAACTCATCCCACCTGGCTTTGAACATGATGAAGAACGAAGTCAGCTTAGACGCAGACTGATAAAAAGCCTACGCAACGACCGCAAACAGTGGTGGGTGGCGAAGGCAAAAGCGATGGAAAAGGCAGTGGCATTAGGCAACACTAGACAACTTTTCCGACTTATCATAGAAACCGTTATTAGGAACCCGAATGTGAGTGAGACTATTTCGGAAAAGGATGGTCTTATTATTTGTTCTCAATCCAGGAGACTGGATCGATAGGCAGAACACTTTGGGGATGAGTTCAACTGGTCTTCAGCCACTCTTCGGTTACCCACGATCTCCAGTCATCTTGAATGGCAAATCGACTTAAGTCCTCCCAGTCTTTATGAAGTTGAGAAAGCGATAGGAAATCTGAAGCGAGGGCGAGCTGCAGGTCCTGATAGACTGACCCCTGACATATTTAAGGATGGCGGTCCAGTTTTAGCAGCTAGATTGACTGAGATCTTAGGTAGAATCTGGGAACTGGACGTAATCCCACCCAACTGGACTCAATCACTGATTGTCCCAATTTATAAGAAAGGACAAAAGTCTTCTTGTGACAATCACAGGGGAATAAGTCTAACTAATATAGTTTCCAAATTGTTAGCCTCGATTATACTTAGACGCCTAACTGGAGCTCTAGAAGAGCAGACTCGCGAAAACCAGGCCGGTTGTCGACCTGTTTAGACAACACCTTCACACTACGTCAGGTCCTAGAAAATAGACACGTTCAGACGCGCCACAATAGTAGTATTTCTCGACCATAAAGCGGCACTTGACTCTATTGATCGTGAGGTTCTGTGGCAGTGTCTGTCATTGAAAGGTGTATCAAAAAAGTTCATTAAGCTTATACAGGCTCTCTACTCGAACACCTCTGGTCGAGTGAGAGCTTATGGCCAACTGTCATCGGAAGTCTTTACTTCAGCTGGTGTCCGTCAGGGATGTACACTCTCCCTATTCTTATTTAAATTTTTGTAGACATGCTTTTAGATTAAATTGACATTTTGTGAGGACGCTGACAAAATGCAGAGTCTTCTGACTATTCTAAGCAACAAGGTCCGGATGCGGTTTTCTCCCTCGAAATGCAAAATGTTGCTTCAGGATTAGGTTGCATCTACACTTGAACTAGTGTTACAAAGTGAAGTAGTTGAGCGTGTTGACTGCTCCACTTATCTCGGGATTCTCATCAGTGGTGATGGCCTGGTTTGTGACGAAATCTCAGCACGGATACAAGTCTCGATTGGCTTTTGCCAACTTGTGTCACTTATGGAGTAAGCGAAATATCCGTTTTCTAGCCAAGGTACGAGTGTAGTGCGCAGTAGTTAGCTCTATCCTACTGTTTGGCTGCGAACAATGGCCAATCAGAGTAGAGGATATTTGTAGGTTTTTCGTATTCGATCACCGGTTTCTTCGAAGCATTGCGCGTATATCCTTGGACCATCGAGTAAGCAATGCTGCTGTTAGGAAAATAGCAGGTAAGTTTGATAGATCAACAGATAAATTAGTGAATCTTCATCAGTTGAGGTGGTTGGGACATGTGATGCGTATGCCTAACCACCAACTGCCTCGATGAGCTATGTTTTGTGGTGTAGGAGTAGGTTTGAAGAAAGTTAGGGGCGGCCAAACCAAAACATGGCAGAAATCCATGAAGTCACTGACAAATGGACTGAGTCATGTTGGCAGATGTAGGCTACCTGGTTGGGGTCTCCAAGACGAAAGTCACCGATGGTTAGAGACCTTAGATGACGTGGCTCAAAATCGTTTGCAATGGCGCAGGTGCATCCACTGTTTGTGTTCTCGGAAATTCCAATTTTCTGAATTGCTCTTCACCTCTCTCTTTCTCTTTCCAACTTTATCTTACTGAATTATACTTCTTGAATACTATCTTCGAACCCTAATCTTCTCCATTAGCAGTAATTCTTCTACTATCTGTACCACTATGGGATCGGAAATAACAATTGCGTCTCTGCTGATTTGGTATTATTAGACGTTTGATTACCGTGGAGTGAATTCTAACGTCAAACACTTTTGACAATTTCATTTAAAGCTATGTATTTCAAGTTGTGTTTTTTTTAAATCATTAGTTTTTATATTTTTCTTCATAGGAGTTTACCAGTCTCAATCCAGTTAATGGCCGCCTTCCTGGGGGCGGAGCATTAAAAGATAACTTGATTCAATCTGGTTTATCTAATTTCACATTAAGTCGTATATGGAAACTTTCAGACATTGATAAAGATGGCTATTTTGATATCGATGAGTTCATTCTTGCCAAGTATTTGATCAAATTGGTGAAGAACGGTACTGAAATCCCAGGAACTTTACCAGATCACTTAATTCCACCTAGTAAACTCAATCTTAATTCATCAGCAACAAATCATGTAGTCGAATGTAGCGAACCAAAATATTAAATTTCACTGATCTCGTTTGGCGATGAAGCTACCAACTGATTTACACCAAGATTGTCATTTTTGAGCATTGGGAATGTACATGTCACTTCAAATTCCTATTGTTTAGAACAAATTTATTTTTATTCTCCTAGACCTACCTAACTTACTAATATGCTAAAATTTTGAGAAACATTGTACCTGTGATACTTCTAAAGTCTGTTTCTTATTACCCGTTCCTGTGTATGTGTTTGTATTTAATGACTTACTTTTGAATACATACAGGAAATGAAACATTCCCTATTCAAAAGCTTCAGGTTCTCATTGCTGGCTTTTTTTTCTATATTTTAGAAAATTAAACATCTGCTTGATTGTGCCTATTATTCTTTAATTGTTTGTATCTTATCGTTATTACACTTATTTTTGTAAACTATATCGTGTATATTATTATTGAATTTACTATTCTTTAGTTATTTACCCCTTGATGTTTAGTTACGTTTTTTGTTTGTCATCATTTCTGATCAGTAGACAGAATGAATATTTTTATTTTTTTTGAGGGGAAGGAATAAATTGATTTCGTTGTTATTCTTCATCAATTCATCATTACTACGCTAATAGTTGGAATTGATTCGTTCGGATGATAACTGTTATTGCATCTATCCACCATAGATGTATTCTGTACTCTTAGTGTTCGATTAAACGACATACGTTGAATGGAAAATTCTCACTGTCAGTCATTGTTAACTTTAAACGTTTCAATGTGCAATCTGTTCTTGCTGCAGTTATCACTACTTAGAATTGTTCGCCTCTTTAGTCCAAGCACATAGTAAGTGTCGATTTGAAACTAGCAAGAAATAAGTTTTATGAAGTATGGTGATTTACGTTATGAATGACTTCTGGAATGCTAAGAAACCTAGGTTTATCTTTTTATCTATGTTATTGGTGAGTAATATTTATTGTCGAGTTTAAGTTTCATAATTTAATTTGTTAGCCGGTTATAATTTATGTGAGTAGAAGTTATTGTCAAATATAAATTGATCGAGATCATCGTTTAGCCAGTTGTAGATGTGTGTTGGCTGAAGTTTGATTAACGCGACGAAATGAGAATAAGAAGATATATCGAAATAATATACGAGCAGTGACTAAACCTTGGTTAATATGGCTTGAAAGGTAGAATGGGAAGATAAATCTGACAGGATACTGGGATGACAGTGAATGCATTTGGCCCACTATGAACATTCCTAAACCACATCTATAACCACCGATTGTAGTTATCATACCGATCCAAACCAGGTAGTTTGCATCTACCTACATCGGTCAGATCAACAGTCAGTAGCTTCATGGAGTGATGCCGCGTTTTGGTTTAGTTTCCGCTAAATGTCTTCTAACTGAATTTTGCACTAGCCAATATCGCCCACGTAAAGCACTAACTTACATTTTGATTTTAACGAGTCAAGTATTTACTATCATTAGGGATGTAAAAACATGGTATAACTTGTATACTGAGAGATTCATCATGCAAAGGGAATTTATAGTCTTAAAAAATGTGAAGGAAGATTGGATGTAATTTTCATCAATAAAGAAAATGTTCTACATGATATGTTAGGCCAAGATTTTTTCTCTTAAAAATCCGTTTTAGAGTTCGTGTAAAATGTAAAGTAACTTACAACTGATTTCAATTTTAAGTCATTTTTGATTGTCTCAGCGTCAGCTAATACTAATCTACATGGAACCTGATTTGAGGTCATGGATAAAATTTACCCTAAGTTCCAGGTACCAGTGGCTTAAGATGACTTTTATGATTGAGTGAAAATGTTCACTCTACCTTGAAGCTCCTCTCCGTACTCAGCGTCTAAAATCATCAACAGTAGTGGCTGAGTACATCATTCACAAATGTTCAGTTCAGCGAAATCAGGGTAACGTTGTAGAAATGTGTACGCATCCAAACCTTTCGAACACGACCTTTAGTAGTTGGGATAATGCCACAATATCACTTAAACTTTCATTGAATGTGAGTTAGTTTCATCTGATACAACTGATTGTTACATTTTCCACTCGCCTCACCACTGAGATTGTGCTTGGATAGTCTTACCAATTTTAACACCACAGGCTTAAAGCACAATCTGTTCTTCAGAATACTGATCATGATTATTTATATATTTCCCATGTTAACCTAACAAGACGATATCGTCTGAATATTTAAGGTCTGAATGCCTTTGGATACAAGGTTTACACCACTATCCACTTCATAGTTGACCATAGAAGATCAATAAGAAAGCCAACTTGTAATAGTGCTGTTTACACTAACAATTGGGTTTAAACAGTAAGGACACTATCTCTTTATTGGTACAGGACTTTGAATGTGTCAATAGATTTCTTGAAAGTTCAGAAGTCTAGTTTCATCTGACCAACCATATTTAGTCTGCGTGAATAATTTTAACTGTCGTTGGCCTGTGATATTTATGTATATTAACGATCAACCCTTGTTTTAGACTAACAATGAAAACCATGTTTAAATGGTAAATAGTCTGAGTAAATAATGAAAAAAGTCATTCTGATAATTGGAATGTATGTTCAATAAACTTGTTATTTTCAACCTTAACTAGAATGGCATTTGTCTACTATTTTTATAACTTTTAGAGTACTGGTACATAATCTTTTATCAAGTATAGTAAGTTAGCTTTAAAATAAACAGTTTGATTGAATGGTAACAGACAACTATTGAATTCTTGATAAGTTTAATCTAGTTATCACCGAAAGTTACAACTTAGTAACCGTTAAGCGTAGTGAATACAATCTTATAAATGATCACTTGCACACATCAGATACACAGCTTGTGTTTTATATATTTATAACTGATTAGCTTATTGGAATTTCTTGAAAAATATACCATACATTTCAGATCCAACCTGTTCTTGATTTCTTACCGTGATGATTAAATAAATAAAAATGATGAATAACGATAGTACTTCTACGTGTTTATTGATTGATGCACAAACAGACAGATCGTATGACAGTGAAATTAAGTTGGAGTTGCGCTATTTCATTTTATTGTGACTATAATTAACACGTATATTTATAGTGACGAAAGTTTATTGATAAAGAAAGTAGATGAGCAAAAAATTCATTGCTTATTTACTTGTCTTGTTTGTTGTGGTAATTCGTTTCTCGCGAAAGGTGGTACATCTACAGTTATTAATTGTTTCTCTATTGATCTTTTTTTCATTTTCAACTTGTTTCCTTTCTCAATCTAAATGCTAGTAGTCAATATTTGTCAAAAGTATTCAAAGTAACCTTCCTAAAAGTTGTATTCGATATAAATAAGATACCCGAAGTAGAGAAATCATATTAAGCGTAAATTAATTCTTACTGTCCTAATTAAAATGTTTGAGTTACTAACAATGTTTGAGCAGTGAGCTATGGTAAAGGTCTTTATTGTGTTTCGACCGTAGCTGCTACCTTGACGTGGTGGTCGGGCTTGCCTATCGTCATGATACAACCGAACTGTTTCGGCTGAAATATATGTTCCTGTAGATCCTACCATATCAGGCATGTCGATTGGAGAACGATGAGACCAAAAGCAACTACTCAAGGTCTGAGGGCGAAATTGTACTGCTCAACATAGACAGGTGTGACAGCATTAAGGTGTTTCCCTCGGACAACCAGCATCTGTAGCGATGGCCTCTTCTCACAAGGAAGGAAGAGTTAAAAAAGGTCGACCCTAAAAATGTCACTCCTGACCCTACCTCACGGATTTCCGTCTCCGGCGGTAAAATTTGCCCACTAAGGGCTTTTAAGAGCGGAGCTAACACTCAAAAAACCTTTCATAAAAAGGCCGTGCGTGACCGACCTTAAGCAGTTGTCCCTTGAGCTCTGCAGTCACGCTACCATGTTGTTAAGACCAACGCTAATCTACAATCCTTTTCAGGTTCCTCAAGAAACACCCTTCCACGATGTGGTCAGCCGAGAAGTGACATCCGCCCCCATACCCGTAACACGCGAGACTAAAGTGGTTACAATCAAACCCTTCCTACACCCTCTAACATCTCTCCTATCTCCACGACTAACTCTACTCACACTCCCTTTTCTCACTGCACCGCTAATGCAGACGAAGCGAGATCACGAAACGTTATTCTTGGTCTCCTCGAATCCAGTTCTAAGTTACATGTTGTAGCATTTAATTTATGGACGTGGTGTCAAATAGGGCAACAGGCTTACTTAGCTAGGACATTAGAATCCTGAGCCGTCGAGGTATGCTGCGTCTCGGAAACACGCATGCAAGATCCTAGTAAAGTCATTAATCTGATTTCTCCTTGTCAAAATAAAGAAGCTGCCCGATTTACTCTTCGTGTATCTGAAAGCCCTGCTGCTGCTTTCCGAGATCTCGCTTGTGTAGGTATAGCCTTGAGTCGTAGGGTAAAACTAGCTCTCCTAGACTGGATCCCAGTAGATAGTTGCCTGTGCGCTGTCCGACTGAACGGGACAGTAAGGACTCAGAAGGATAGGGACATCCGTCGTTGCCTCTTCATCGTATCTGCCTATGCCCCCACTGACTGCAGTTCAGACGAGGTGAAAGATGAGTTCTACAGAAAGCTTTCGGACCTCCTCCAAAAAGGTTAGGCACTCCGATGTAGTAATAATGGCTGGTGACTGTAATGCTCAAGTAGGTAGACTAAGTGAGCAGGAGAGACACCTTGGTGGATGTTATGGTGTCGCGGATCAGAGAACAGACAATGGCGATCGTCTGTTGCAACTATGCTCAGATAACCACCTATTTCTAGCAAACATTAACTTTAGGCATAAGGAAAAACATCTTTTGACCTGGCGATCCCCCGAAAGTCGTCTCAACGTTGGACCCAACTAGATCGCATTGCCATCAGCAGCCGATGGAGAGGTTCGACAGAGGACTGTCGCTTGTTCTGGGGGAACATGTTTAGATTCAGATCATGGCTTAGTGTTATCGCGTATTTGTTTGAGGCTTACTGGACGTCGGAAAGACACCGCAATAGTTGTCTTCCTGAAACTTAAGGTGGCATTTGACTCTGTGGATCGTGAAGTTCTGTGGCAGTGTCTGTCGTCAAAATGTGGACCTTTGAAGTACATTAACCTTATACATGCTCTTTACTAGAACTCCACTCGTCGGGTGAGAGCCTACGGCGAACTGTCATCGGAATTCTGTACTTCAAGTGTTGTCCGTCAAGGCTGTCTACTCTCTCTATTCTTGTTTAACTTTGTCGCAGACATGCTTATAGAGTTAACATTATCCTCATCAGATTTTTATGAGGTGGACCTTCTACCAGGAGGATTGCTTATGGACCTAGAATATGCCGATGACATAGTTCTATTCGGTGAAGACGCTGACAAAATGCAGTCTTCTGACTGCTCCAAGCAACAATGCAAGCATGTTCGGCATGCGGTTCTCACCCTCGAAATGCAAAATGTCGCTTCAGGATTAGGTTGCATCGGCACCTGAACTAGTGATAGGAAGTGAAGTAGTTGAGCGTGCTGACCGCTTCACTTATCTCGGGAGTCTCATCAGTGGTGATGGTCTGGTGACTGACGAAATCTCAGCACGGATACAGAAGTCTCGACTGGTTTTCGCCAACCTACATCATTTGTGGCATAGGCGAAACATCCACTTGCTAACCAAAGGACGAGTGTAGTGCGCAGCAGTTCGCTCCTTTCTCCTCTATGGATGCGAAACATGGCCGTTAAAAGAAGATACTCGTAGGTT